TAACCTCTTTTGTCCTCTGATCTTCTCAGATCTCTTTTCAACATAGAAGGCTTGGCATGCCCATTCAGATTTGGTTGGTTCTATCAATCCTTGACGAAGAAGTTCAGCACATTCTTGTCGAGCCATCTGGAGATCAGTTGTACTCATTCCAGGATGTGTGGCTTTGGTGGGATTGATGTCTTCATTGAGCTTGAAAAGGAGTTTTATAAAAAACTCTGGATTGTTCCAAATTGGGTTGGGATGAGAAAAATTCTCATGTCCATCTGCACATAAGGTCTTCAACTTTTCTTTGAGTTCTAAATATTCTGTTGGGCTCTCTTCTAGAGAATAAAGTTTCAAGATATCTGTATAAGGCTTGAAATTTCTTTTAAACTTAATTCCTCTTGGAAGTATTTGAAGCTTGTCAGTTAAGCAATAAGCATCCATGCCAAGCAGAATATCTTTATTAGGCAGATGAGTACCTATGGGTTTGATCCAAATGATGCAATCTGAAAATAACTTGATTCCAATAGGCATTTTGGAAATTAAGTGAGTGTTGAAGACTTTTCCATCAGCTGCTATAAAACTGGTAGTGTATTGGGTCCAGCATTCTTTTGGAAGAACCTCTGGATTCATCATAGTTCTTTGTGCTCCAGTATCCATGTAGGCTATGGCCTTGATTGGAGTAGCATATTTGTTAGTGAGAACTTGGACCTCCACACAAGGTTGCGATGGAGTTTGAAGGATACTATTTACTTCTTGAGTAAAATAGAGAGGAATGTATTCATCTTCTTTGCTTGATGAATCTGAAGAATCATCAGATGATTCTTGAATAGCAAAGACAGTATCCTGATCAGCTTCTTCTTGTTCTGAGAATTCGGATTCAATATCTCCTTCAATGGGATCTAATGAATTTACCAGATTTTGGGCTTTAGCATCTTTGTTGGGGTATTTTTTAGCAAAGTGTCCCTTTTTCCCACAAATGAAACATCTGGTTCCTTTGTTTTTCCCTTTTTTGGTTTTCTTCTTGAAGTACTTCATCTTTTTCTTCTTTTTTTAGAACTTCTTTACTGTACCTTTTTTCTTGGATGGACAGACACATTTCTTTTCTTTGCATCCAATTTCAAGGTATTTTTTCTTGCAGGCCTTAGTAAATTTTGATCTCTCATTCATCACATCAGAGATGAAAAGATGTGTCCTGCACAATTTATCAAGAGATTCCAGTGTCTTCTGGTGGATCTGGCCAAGGCTTAGACTAGTTAAGTCTTGTCCTTGAGCAACAATGAGTTTGTGGATCTCTGGTTGTAGTTCTTGAGGGAGAGAAGCAACATAGGTGTTTTTTAAACTGACATCATTGTATCCGTTGAGAAGATAGAAAATTTCTACCATTCTTTTATGATGTCTTTCTAAGTCATTTTTCTTCAGAGAGCAACATTTCATCTCAAAATAATCTTGCCTGATTTTCTTGTCATAAAGATCCATGTCTCCTACAAATTCTTGATGTATGGCTCCAAGAACTTGGCGAGTATTTCCCAGTTGATGAAACTGGTCTTGTTTGACACTACCAAGATTATGATACCATTCTTTTAGAGTGCCAGTCATTCTGCAACAGAATTCTTCAATGACTTTATAAGGATCTGCATCTAATTTCATGAACTGAGTATCTAACCAGGCTCCAAAATCAAGTAATCTTTTTCTCCAGTACTTTGGAGAAACATCATCAAGAGTGAAATAAGGACTTCCATTGATTTTTGATCCTTTTTTCTCTCGTCTGCTAGTCTCTTCTTCCTCATCAGATGAATCATAAAAAGATCCTCTTTGATTACTGGATTGTGCTGTGTTGACCATCAGCATCTCAGTGATATCTGTAAATTCTTTATCAGAGGATTTCTTTTCTGGTGATTCTGATTCACTCTGGGATTCTTCGGCTGTTGAAGATTCATAAGATTCTCCATGTTCAGCTGATTCAGTATCTGAAGGATTAAGTTCATCTTCTTCAAGAATTACTCTTATAAAAAGAGTTCTTTCTTGGCTTCCTTTTGAAGATTTTTTTGGGGGAGATTTTTCTTCTTCAGAGGAGTCTAAGCTCTTTGTCTTAATGGTTTCTGAAGAGGAAATACTCATTTTTCCTTTACCCTTAGAATCACGAGTGGATGACCTGGGTTTAGGTCTATAAGCAGAGGGTAAGGAATATGATGGTGCTATGAAAGTTCCTTGGTAGAAAGAAGGTGGACTAAAAGGAGAATAATAACTTGATTGATCAGGAGGTGGAACTAGAAAGGGATTTATTTCAACTTCCCTATTCTGTTGTTTGGCAGTGATTAACTCATCCATTTGTTTTACTTGTTCTTTGAGTCTCCTGATTTCTCTATCTTTCTTGTGGTATTCTCCAGTGAAGACAGCTTTTTCTTCTGTCAATTTTGAGATGTCTAACTCCAGTTTTGCAATTTGCTTTTGGGACTCTTTGTAGCATCTTCTGAGCTTGTCAGAAAGATATTGGAGCTTCTCATCATTCTTATGGACAGTTTCGACAATCTGGTCCATCTTACCGTCCATCTTTTTCAAAAGTTGGTTTTGGGCCAAAGAATTCTCAGTTTGCCAGTTGAGAACTTCTTCAGCTTGAGATGGAGCCTTAAGAGTTCCATCTGGTTGTATTTTTTAGGGTATCACTAAAGGCCGAGTGTTGACCTTAGTGACAGGGTCTACTTTTCTTTCCAAAGAAGGAAAGTTTTCATCATACTTGGTAAACATCATACAGGGAATAGGAATTGTGTCCTTTTTAAGAGGTGCACTGAAAGAATTGCACAATCCTGGTGGAGGTGGCCATGTAATAAGATCTGGGTCACAAGGTGGTTTGTTTAGCAGGCTTTCTTTTCTTAGGATTTCCAAAGCCTCATCATAGATAGGCAAAGGTTTTCTTTCATTTCTGATACCTACCCATGGAGTAAATCCAGGGTCTCTTCTCCTAGGCTTAGGAGGAGGTTTGCAAGGTTTCTTTTTCTTCCTTCTTTGATTTTCTTCATCATCATTTTCTGATTCTTCATCAGATGTATCACCAGTATGCATCCAGCAATCACAGTCAGGATCACACATAGAAGAATCAACATCCCACATGAAGTGTCCATCAAATTTATCAGAATAGATGGAGGATCCATCAGGTTTAAAGCTGTATACTGGGATTCTATGTTCTTTCCCAACAGGATGACCATTAGTGATTGGAAACAGTCAGAAGAAGGGCTTGGTTCCTCTTCAGGCTTTTTGAATATGGTTCTAACACCACCATCAACAGATCTTCTGAACGTGGCTTCAAAAGATTGGATAGGTTTGTTGTTTTGCCTGATCTTCTCATAGTCAGTCGTCCATTCAAGTGGAATTAGCTTGAGAAGTTCTTCCCTGGGAATTTGTCTAGGAACTTGGATGATGGAAGGAACATCATCTTCACTTCTATTGGCTATGACAAACAGACTATCATTTGCTGTTCCTGAAAGAGGTAGATCATGAGCATGATTTTGTAATCTGTAGATCATTTGATGATGAAGAGTTGCTGTGATAGCTTCTTCGATTTGTTCAGCTCCAGTGAGCTGAATCTGGACTTTCAGTCGGGTTGGAAGAGTTTTATCTCTTAAAGAGACATTATAGTTTGGAAAAATGGTGAGAACCACACTTCCAGCATGAAGGGTGGTTAATAGTGTTGCAATAACAGCATGTTCATAATGGATGTAGGTGGAGTCAAGGAGAGTGATTCTGGCGGTTACTAGAAGATTTTTCCTTCCATGCAAGGATAGGACTAATCTTATTGCACCAAAATGTAGAGCAGAATATCCCTCAGTCTTCCAATGATCTATGAAAGTTTTAGGGATTTCAAGGTTGATGTACCTTTCCTTCTTTGTAGCAGGTATCTCACACTGGTCCATTCTGGTGGATTGGACATACTCTTTGATGGGGGATTGCTTTCTGAGGATCAAAGCATTGACTTTGTTGGTCCAGGATTTATGTCTCCTGAAAACATTGTAAGGACTTAAGAGAGGAGCTATGGATTCCTGAATTTGAGCACCTTCAGGAACATAGGTGTATTCTATCAGGTTTTCTATTTTATCAGAAGCAGTTCTGATACAATCTTTAGGTAATGAAATGGGAGAATTTACGAGAAGAGGAGAGATTTCAGTAGAAGTGTCTGTGGGTGTATTCATGGTGTTGTGGTAACTCTTACTGACTTTATTTGTAATGAATATCATATCTCGCTAATTAGTGCTTTTAAGGCACTGTTTAAGAAATTAAAAATATTAAATTTTTATTGAGATTTCATGTTAGATTGTATTAAAAAATATGAAGAATGTGTATTTATTATATCTTTTAACATTTTTTTTTACTTGTACTTTTTTAAATAATGCTCTAAGGTTATTAGTTAGTATTTGTTTTATTTATATAATTAAACTTCTTTAAATGAACAAATACTATTGTCAAATATTAACTTTATTTAATACAAAGAAGTAAATAATTATCATTCATAATATTACATATAAAATATGCGGTTAATATTTTTTATCACAAACCTTTGATTGTTCGACAATTAAGCCACTGAATTTTAACAAGTGAGTTGAATTAAGTATACTGAAAATGCAAAGCTTTTTAAGTGTAATTTTTTATTCAAAAAATTGAAGAATAATGCATAATTTTAGTCTCTAAAATTATTGAGCATTTGCTAATCTAGTTTTTGAAATTATAAAAAAAGTTAAAATTATTAGAACTTGATCCGTTTTAGTTTTTAGAATTTTGAAATCAATAATTTTAAAATAATTTGTTTAAATATGTTGAACGTATCATAGTGTGGACACATTCTTAAATTTTAAAAGTAATTTATTTAAATAATAATATTTTATCATTTTAATTTACAATAATATGTCAACTAATTTTTTTCTACTAATATAAAAATTAATTAACATATTATAATACTAATTATTTAAAAATTAAAAATAACATACCTTTTAAAAACTTGAAATTTTTGGTGCTTCCTCATTCCTTGGTCAAGTGAGTTCCCTCTTCCCTCTTGTGAAGGAAGAGAGGAGTAACACTGCATGCATAATTGCATATCATGTGTCACATCAAATGTCACGTGAAAGAAGAATGACATTTATGAAGGAAGAGAGAGACTGTCTGCGCAACTTCATCACACAACTCAAAATCCAGCGTCTACTCTACTCTGTTTATGATATTGTGATAATAACAAAACAAGAAAATATGCAAAGGCAAGGTGACACTGTGTTCCTTGAGGATTGGCTGAAGCGCAGGTCTGGTGCCGACCCTAACAAACCCCCCCCACCCAACGCCAGAGCCATCGTTCAGGCATGGGCCGACCTCCGAGCCTCCCTCCAATCCTCTTCCTTCGCTCAACAGCACCTCTACCATCTCAACACCTTAGTCAATTCCCAAGCCTCTCTCCATGTTGCCGAACCCCAGGCTCGCCTTCTCCTCGCCATTCTCCAATCTCCCAACCTCTCTCTCCCACGCCACTCCTTTCCTCTATTCTTCAGACTCCTTTACGTTTGGGCGCGAAAAGCCGCAAACCCTAACCCTGCCGTTATCGATTCCGCGGTTGAGGTTCTCTCTCGTGTCATTTTCTCTTCTCAGTTGGATTATTGCACTCCGATGTTTTTCTCTGAAGCGATTCTACTTTTGGGTGCGTTTTCTTTTGTGCATTCTTTGTCTGAAAGAACTAAGACGCTGTGTTTGGACATGTTATGTAAAGTGTTGATAGATAGGGGTGAGATATTAGGTTCCTTTGTGCCTGATGTGCTGGCTGGGATTGGGTATGCTTTATCGTCTTCTGTGGATGTTCATTGTGTGAAATTATTGGGTTCTATGTTTGGGATTTGGGGTAAGGTAAATGGGCCTCGAGGTAGTGTTGTTGATGGGCTCATGGTTCTTTATCTGATTGAGTGGGTTGTGTTGAACTTGATTAAATTTGGTTATTTGGATAAGATACGCGTTTTTGTTGAAGAAGGTTTTCGGGATTCTGAGGGGCGTGCTTTGTTTGCTGTTTTCATGGCTGCGGTTGGAGCTTTGAGAGCTGCTGATAGGTCTGCGATGAGTGGTGTGAAATTGGATGTTTTAGCGGGAATGAGGGCTTCTGCTGTTGCTTGGATTGAGGGTTTTGTTAGTGGTTTGGTTTCTAGGACGTTGAGGTTTAATAACTTGGCCAGTGATCCTGAAGACAGGCTTTTGCTTCGGTGTGTCTCGTTGGGATTGGCTCGAACTGGATCATTCTCGGGCCATTCCTCCTTGTTTGTTTGTCTTGCTTTGGCATTGACGAGTGAAATATTGCCATTGACACGTCTTTATGAATCGGAAAATGAAAATTCAGGTAGTTCGAGTGGACTGGAGGTTAATGAGATCAAAGAACATCTGGATAGTATCTCGTTCAAGGAAGCAGGAGCCATAACGGGGGTTTTCTGCAATCAATATGTTTTAGCTGATGAAGAAAATAAGGCTATGGTGGAGAATCTTATATGGGAATACTGTCGGGGTATCTACTTTAGACACAGGCAAGTGGCCATGATTCTTAAAGGCAAGGGGGATGAGATGCTTGAGGGTCTGGAAAAAATTGCAGAATCTGCTTTCCTTATGGTCGTGGTCTTTGCCTTAGCTGTAACAAAGCACAAGTTAAACCCCAAATTTTCTCAAGAAGTACAGATGGAAGTCTCGCTGAAGATACTTGTTTCATTTTCTTGCGTGGAATATTTTCGCCATGTCCGCTTGCCAGAGTATATCGAAACCATTCGCAAGGTGGTTGCAGGTGTTAAGAATGAGCATGCTTGTTCTTGTTTTGTGAACTCCATGCCCTCTTATGTTGACTTGACAAATGGCCCAGGTATGACTTGTGTAGTTACATTTTAATGTGAACTGATCATTTGTCATTTTATTATTTTTTGCATTTTGTAAGATTCCGTTGTCTTCTAGACCAGAAAACCAAATACTTATGGTCCAAGGATGAAGTGCAAACAGCTCGCATTTTGTTTTATCTGCGGGTCATTCCGACTTTCATTGAATGTTTGCCCAGGCCTGTGTTCCGTGACATGGTAGTTCCAACTATGTTCTTGTATCCTCTATGAAATAAGTACACATTTGGTTTCGCTTTGATTTTTGTGCACAATAGTTGCAGCCAAATGTTTTATCTAGAGTATTTTATTTATAATCTATTATGGACACTAGATATGCTAATCCAAACATGCATTAAATAACCTGGCCACATTATCGTGCAAAGAAAACATTCTTCCTTATTTAAAATAAAACTAGATATATGGAGCACCCAAATGGAAAAGTAGCTCGAGCCTCTCATTCTGTGTTCATGGCATTTATGACTATGGGGAAGGAATCTGAAAAGAATGATAAAGTTTCATTGAAGGAGCAGCTTGTTTTCCATTACATACAAAGATCCTTATTGGTACTTGATTATACTAAAAATCTTAATCCTAAATGACTGCACCTGATAATTATTAATGCATTTTCATATTATCGTGTGATATGAATATAGAGATATCCTGGCATTACTCCCTTCGAGGGTATGGCTTCTGGGGTTGTAGGAATGGTCCAACATCTTCCTGCTGGAAGCCCTGCTATTTTTTACTGCATTCACAGTCTTGTTGAAAAAGCCAATCAGCTCTGTTCTGAAGTATTTGCTCATGAGGCTGATGCATGGAAGAAGCGGCAAGGAGAACCAGAACCAAGCAAGAAATTAATGGACTTGCTCTTACGCTTAGTTTTCCTTGTTGATATACAAGTAAGCTGTTAATTAATTATGATTAACTTTTTTTTTTTATATTATTTTTCCATTTCATTTAAAGCTAAGAAATCTAAACCTTCCAAGACCCAAAGATGGTACATGCTTATAAGTTGGGCAGCCTGTTAAAAAGTAATTCATTTAATGTTTAAGGATTAAAATTGATATTTTGGAAATTGTATTATTCCAGATGCTAAATATTGTCTTCTTTGAACTTGATTATGCTAGCCTCTTTGAAGTTGAGCACTCTAGACCTTCCAAAACTCAGAGATGGTACATGCTTTTAAGTTGGGCAGCCTGTTAAAAAGCAATCCATTTAATGTTTAAGGCTTAAAATTGATATTTTTGGAAATCATATTATTCCAGATTCATGAAGTATTGTCTTCTTAAACTTGATTATGCAAGCCTCTTTTATTACTTTAGGTCTTGCCCGATTTGATGAAACTATTGGCACAGCTGATCACTAAGTTTCCACAAGATGCTCAGAACATTGTTCTCAATGAGTTATATTCACAAGTGGCTGATTCTGATGATGTTGTCCGCAAACCCACATTGGTTTCATGGCTGCAGTCATTATCTTACCTTTGCACAAAGACTACAAATCAAAATGCAGCTTACCACAAAAGTGAAAGTGAAGACAATCTGACTTTGGCTGGTATTGCAGAACCATTAAACAGTGGAAGAGCAACTGCACGACTCTAAGAGATTCAGGTCTCTCTCTCTTGTGGGGTACTCCAGTTGTTTTTGACATTATTTTTTATCTAATAAAGTCTATAGTTATGTTAGATCTTACTAATGGATCTTGTTACTGTATGTCATATATGCTGAGTCAATTTTTCATGTCATTTGCTGCAGTTAGCTTTTCTAGTATTCTGGTTTGATACACTATTGTGATTGTGCCTGTTCTCAGGTTTCTCAATCGACTTTTCATATCATACTTGAGGAAGGATTTTATCAGCCTCTACAGCTGTTCATTCTCATCCTCCATAGCTTCCCAACCAAGACCTGTATTCAATTCAGCCTCCAGAGCCGTGAGGACTAATGTTGCTTACCAGAGTTCCTGATTCAGGTCCATTTCAATTTTCCATTTGATTTCCTTTTTCTATTCATGTTTGTGATTCAACCTTATGAAGTTCTGTTCTTTCTGATTCAACTTTGCTTGAAATATTTAATGAAGTTTTGAACCTTCTGTTGTTGTAGTTTTTCTGTGATTTCAATGACAATATGATGAGGATGTGGTTGGTTCATTTTGAATGTTTAATTGGCAACTATAAACAATACACTGAAAATATATCGATCATGGGTTTGGTTAAGGGAATGTGATATGCGTGTTCTCCCTTGAGTCCTAAGTATTTATAATATATATTTCTTAAGTCAAATAGAAATGCTTCTTTGTTGGGTTTAGAACAATATAATAACTTTCATTTTCTACCTCTATCTGTACGAACTGCCTTCAGCCTTTTTAAATATGACATGGATTATAACTAGATGATGTTGTGGGTTGGTATTTGAAAATGCTGCCAGTTCTTTTTTATGCTTATAAATAATAATCCATTCCTAAACCTGGAATAGTAATCCAAAATAGCTCAAGATTGCGACAAATCATAAAGTAAGGATCGATTGTTGTTAAAATATTAACTGAACATTCATTTAAAATGAATTAAATAAACCTAAGTATTTGTTATATTTTTTTATGCAGATGTCTGTAGCAATTAAAAGAAGATTTTGTATGCTACTGATGCAAAGAATCAGCATTATATTCAGGATTTCCTTTACTGAACCTTGAATCCTGTTGAAGCTGAAGCTGAAAGTGAAACCTGATTACTCCCAAAAGTGAAGCAGAAAGTGGAGCCTGATTACACCCAAAAGCCTTCTGTGATGACGAGATAGCGACTAATCCTTCCCCATGATATGGCCATATGAACTGTCATAGTTGTAGCGGTGTGGTGCTCTTCTTTTCTTGTAAACTGGATGGATAATCAGAGGATATTCTCACTGGTCTTTCCAGTAAACAGTGCTCTTCTCATCTTCCTGTTCACCTCTTTCAAGAAGAGCTTTTCTGTTGAACTTGCCTTAAATGGATGTGGTGCTGCAATTGTATTTTGTATGATTGGAGCCTCTGCTGTATAAATTAGTTGTTAAGTCTTTCTGAATACTTGGTGATGTGAAACAATTCTGATTCAAAATGACTTAATTGCTGTGTCCAATTTTGGTGTTATATGATTATGAAATCATCCTTAATTGAATTCTTCTATTGTTCTGCAAAGTCCCCCATCCCCTGTATCCCTACATCTGTTTGTGTTGCATGAATGGAGCAAGAGAGTAAAGATATGATGCAGACATTATTGAATCCTATTGGTACAAACTTTATAACTAACCGTTTGAAGTTGATATAGATTTTTTGGTGTCACGTCTTGCACAATTGATGATTACTCGATCGTTGATCTGTCACTAATGCCAACAGAGGCGTATGGCAGAATTATTCTATTGGCTATGATGTTCAAGGATTTTTGTTGTTTTTCTTTGTGGTCGACGTTCAAAGAAGTTTTTAGTTAAAATGTGTGACTTTGCATTTGAGCTGTACATACGTTGTTCTGCGTGTTTTTCATTTAAAAGATTTTCAATTTTTATTATCTAAAGGAATTTTTTAAATATGAAGAAAATGAATTTTCTTCTTTCAAACAAGAAATTTTAGAACTGGAGAAAATTTAATGCAAGCAATTGGTCTCATTTTTCCCATTCCAAGACTAACAAACCACCAACTTCCATGACAATGACAGATCTTGACTTAAAATTTTGGGAGAGTCATTAGATATTGACTAAAATTATTCTATTAAAATTCATATATAAAATTTTATCAAAACTTCTAAAATAACATGTTAGCAATAATAAACAAATATATAAAAATAGTAAAAAAAAAAAAAAAAACTTGATGTAGAATGGTTAACATTGAGAGTGCTTAAAATTATAAGCAGTAAAAAAATTGACCACGGTCCTTCGCGGCCCCAAAAAGTTCTGCCACTGTTCTTTGAAAACATAATGGAGATTGTCTATCATCATTGCTGTTACCATAAGCATGATAACGAGATAAGTCAACCCTTATTGGCACCAAGTTAATCATTTAATTATATTTTTCGTAAGTGTCCTTCTTAATGTAAAATAAACACTAATTTAGTGTCTAAATTAATGTTCAAAGATATTGTTTCACGATAAACTTTTCATGGACATGATTGAACATTATATTACCCCCAATAACTTATGAAAGAACATCTAAAATGGTCCCTGAAAATATTTATAGACCCAATTTAGTCCTTGAAGAAAACAAAGTTATCGAATAATCCTTTATTTTTTTTCATGGGACAGGTTAGTCCTTTTTATTAAAATACACTTGTTTAAATTAATAAATTTTCTGTTATATATAATACAATAGGTTTTTAGAAACTTTTTTTAAGCCAAATTTATCTCTAAAAATTAGCTCTAATATTTAGAAATATGTAAATTGACTCTAAAAATTATTTTTAGAAACTAGTAAACTAATTTAGTTAAACAAAAAAGCTTTTAAAAATTATTTTATGAGATAAAAATTACATGTGCCACCTTAACTAATCAATAGCTTATAGAAGCAATTTTGTTAAGTTAAACATAGATCTTTTAATAGTTTCTCTAAAAAGTTTAATAAATTAGGAACCGTTTAGTGACTTTTATTTTTTTTTTAAAAAAAACTAAATTTTGTCTAAAAATTTTTAAGGACTAATTTGATTGCTTACTTTAAACTTCCTGTATTTTTTTTAATTGATGTTAAAGATGAATAGAATCTTGTGATTCCAAAAGTGTTGTGGAGTTTAGAGTTGAAAAATAAGAGAAGGGAAAATTAAATATATTTTCATAAATATATTTATAAATTAAGAAATTCATTATTAAAAAAACAATAAGAGTAGTTTATAAAAAATAGTTGGATCAAAGAAAAGAGTGTAGGTGAAAAAAAAGCAATAACACTTAATAATTTATATTGGTTCACTTAAAAATATGTTTATGTCCAATCCTTAACAATAAGTAAGATTTTTACTATTTAACTCAAGTTATAGAGGATATTTAATATACTCAAGTATAGCACAAGTCTTTTTAACTCAAGTTATAGAGGATATTTAATTATAAGTATTCTTTACACAAATGTCTTTTTAAGTAAAACTATTTTTTCAAGGATTACTTAAACCTTTTCAACCTTTCTATACACTTAGAAATGTTGAGTTTTTTTTTTACATTGAAGATAAAGAAGACTTTGATTATTTAATAATACGAAATTCACTTATATCGGTATTTTAGTTTGCATGGATGCTTATCTTCATTACATAGTTTAACAATGATAAGATTATGTTAGACACAATCATATATCTATTAAACAAAAAATATTTTTTTTTTTATGAACATGTATCTTTTATTGTGTCAAAATTAATTTTTTTCTTTTTTCTTTTTGCTTTTTTGTGCAAATGTAAAAAATAAGTAAAATAATATTATTGCCTCATTTAAATAAGTATAATTTTTTTTAACATTAGTTCTCTTTTAACTAGAGCATGTTTGTTTATTATTTTTTTAAATAAATTTCTCTTTTTAAAAACTATAAATACATGTATTTTTAGTTTTTAAAAAGAGAAAACTCTTTTACAAATAGTAAACAAACATAACCTTAAAGTTGTGTTTAGTTTTTAAAAAGAGAAAATTCTTTTATAAATAGTAAATAAACATAACCTTAGAGTTGTGTAACTTTAAAATAATGGTTGTTGAATTTTTTTTAACGGATTGTCAATTTTTAAAAATTATATATTATTTTTCAATCATCTTACAAATAATATTTTATATTGAAATACCTGAACAAATATATTAAATACATTATTAAAATCATCTAAGATTTAATTAATTTTTAGTCATTAAAACTAGTTTAGACCTTCAATCATTGATGGATTTATTTTTACTTTAATAGGTAACATATATTTTGTTCCATAAAAGTAAAGATACTGTTGTACATTATTTGACATATATATCTCAAACTGTTTACTAATTTATCTTTCACTCATTAGAGTTTTGAAACATGAAGATTTACTTGTGTATACACAAAATTAAGAGACTAATTCAAATTCTTAGGATGTGTTTATTATCATTTTTATTTAAGTTTTTCCCCCTCATATAATCATATTATTAATATGGATATTTAATATAAAAAATTAATAAAAGTGGTAATAGGCACATAAGAGTGATAATAAACTCTCAAATCCTTTAAGCTTAACTGTTGCAATTTTGCTAATCTTTTGTACAAATTTATTAATATTAAAACTTATTCGTAAGTTTCTTTGGACTTGTTTAGCCCGTTGATAATAATAATAATAATAATAATAATAATAATAATAATAATAATAATAATAATAATAAATAAATAAATAAATAAATTATTTTACACTGTATATTTCATTATGTTATAAGCATGGACCACCTTATTTGAAGGACTTTAATTTTGCTAGTTAAAGTCCAACCCAATAAATAATTTTTTAAAATATTGATGAATATCACATCATATCTTATATATTGAAATATAAAGGAATAATTCATGAAGTTTTCCTTAATTTCAAATCTGAAAGATTATAATAACAAATACCGAAAAGTATAATCTAATAATATACTTGAACATCGCACTTTTTTCTATAAATATTTTTTTACACTTTGTCATAATATAATATAAGGACCATTTTGATAAATAAGATAAGATAAAAAAGGTATAAAGACAATATAAGAGAATGATTAATTTTTATCTTATTCTATGTTTAATGAACATCATGCTAATAACACAAATAATATTATATTACTCTTTTTAATGTTTGAAATAAATAAAAAATAATAGAACAAAATATAAATTATATTTAAATGACAACATTATTTTTTTATATAAAATAATATTTTTTTAAAATAAATTTTATTTAATTTTTTTACTTTTAAAAATATATATATATTAAAAATAAAAAAATTATGTACATATAATATTAAAATATTAAACTATGATAAGTTTATTCAGTTTTTTACAATAAAAATTTATTTTTAAGTAAGAAATTGTAATTAGAACAAAAAATTATAAAAGTTTAAAATATATTTTATAAAAAGATTAAAATATTATTTTTACAAATTTTAAATATACTTTTCTGAAAAAATTATAATTATAAAAAATACTCTTTTAAAAATAATTATAAAAAAGTATAAATTATAAGCAATAATGTAATGAAAAAAAAAAAGTCATAATATCCACTCATAATCATTTTTAATATAAGAATTTAAGTGTATGATATTGAGATATGCTGTACAATAATGAACAAATATAAAAAATAAAATAAGATGATTCCGATCACGCAAGAAGTCTTTAAGAGTATCAAACTTAGAACATTTGTTTTAGCATCTTTCGTAAATATGAAAGAACTGAATTGAAGTATAGAAATTTTAGAAGATCATTTTAGTGTACTGTGTATGTTTTTAATAAAAGATTATTTGTTTAGAACATGATTACCATCATTTACTTATATTAAGGGTTATGGGAAGGCCTTGAGAATCAAATAGCGTAGAACACTGATGAAAGCAACCCCAAAAGCCTTTCTTAGTGCATTCTCTTTGCCCATATCAGATGCATCCTACACACCAATCTCCATTTTTCAACTGTCACTAACAGTTTTGACGTTATATTTCACTTTTTGTTGGTACCCAATGCCATCATTTTCTTCATTATTCATTCTCCAAAGCTATTTTGTCTCGTGAATGCATCAACGTTGGACTTCTTTTCTGCTTGAAAACTTCAATTGGGAGATGCTCTATTTTACCCTCCATCCTCTTTTTTATTATTCTTTTCCCAAATATGTATACAATTCCCTTTAATTTTAAGTCCTCATTAGATTAAAAATCATTTAAATTTTCACATTTTAACACATTTCTCTTCAAACATTATATTAATTTATGATAATTTCTAACGTGCCTTCTAAATCATCAAGACATTCCATATCTTTTCACCCATGAAACAATGGTGTTAGTGATTTATTTAGAAAAAATATATAAATATCTTGTAATATCTAAAATAATAGAGAAATTATAACTATCAATTTAACGAGAATATATAATGTATAGCAAATACCTCAATTTATTTCCATTTATTTATTGCTGTTAACTTAATGATTTATTTTTATTTATTTAAATCTAACTTGACTAAAAAGTTCACTTAACAAT